CGTTCTAGTAGGTGTTGACGTTCTAGTAGTGCAGTATGTTGGTGTTGACGTTCTAGTAGGTGTGTGTTGACGTTCTAGTAGGTGTTGTTCTGTATGTTCTAGTAGGTGTTGATGTTCTAGTAGGTGTTGACGTTCTAGTAGGTGTTGACGTTCTAGTAGGTGTTCTGATGTTGATGTTCTAGTAGTGTGTTTAGTATGTTCTAGTAGGTGTTGACGTTCTAGTAGGTGTTGATGTTCTAGTAGGTGTTGACGTTCTAGTAGGTGTTGATGTTCTAGTAGGTGTTGACGTTCTAGTAGGTGTTGATGTTCTAGTAGGTGTTGACGTTCTGGTAGGTGCTGATGTTGATGTTCTAGTAGGTGTTGATGTTCTAGTAGGTGTTGACGTTCTAGTAGGTGCCGATGTGTTGACTGTTCGGTGTTGACGTTCTAGTAGGTGTTGATGTTCTAGTAGGTGTTGACGTTCTAGTAGGTGCTGATGTTGACGTTCTAGTAGGTGTTGATGTTCTAGTAGGTGTTGACGTTCTAGTAGGTGCCGATGTTGACGTTCTAGTAGGTGTTGACGTTCTAGTAGGTGTTGATGTTCTAGTAGGTGTTGACGTTCTAGTAGGTGCTGATGTTGACGTTCTAGTAGGTGTTGACGTTCTAGTAGGTGTTGATGTTCTAGTAGGTGTTGACGTTCTAGTAGGTGTTGATGTTCTAGTAGGTGTTGACGTTCTAGTAGGTGTTGATGTTCTAGTAGGTGTTGACGTTCTGGTAGGTGCTGATGTTGATGTTCTAGTAGGTGTTGACGTTCTAGTAGGTGCTGATGTTGACGTTCTAGTAGGTGTTGACGTTCTAGTAGGTGTTGATGTTCTAGTAGGTGTTGATTGCGTTCTAGTAGGTGTGAGTTCTAGTAGGTGTTGACGTTCTAGTAGGTGTTGATGGTTGATGTTCTAGTAGGTGTTGATGTTTCTAGTAGTGTTGACGTTCTAGTAGGTGTTGACGTTCTAGTAGGTGGCGATGTTGACGTTCTAGTAGGTGTTGACGTTCTAGTAGGTGTTGATGTTGATGTTCTAGTAGGTGTTGATGTTCTAGTAGGTGTTGACGTTCTAGTAGGTGTTGACGTTCTAGTAGGTGCTGATGTTCTAGTAGGTGCTGATGTTCTAGTAGGTGTTGATGTTCTAGTAGGTGTTGACGTTCTAGTAGGTGTTGATGTTCTAGTAGGTGTTGACGTTCTAGTAGGTGCTGATGTTGATGTTCTAGTAGGTGTTGACGTTCTAGTAGGTGCTGATGTTGACGTTCTAGTATGTGCTGATGTTCTAGTAGGTGTTGACGTTCTAGTAGGTGTTGACGTTCTAGTAGGTGCCGATGTTGACGTTCTAGTAGGTGTTGATGTTCTAGTAGGTGCTGACGTTCTAGTAGGTGTTGACGTTCTAGTAGGTGCTGACGTTCTAGTAGGTGTTGACGTTCTAGTAGGTGCTGATGTTGACGTTCTAGTAGTGAGTGTTTAGTAGGTGTTGACGTCTAGTAGTAGGTGTTGACGTTCTAGTAGGTGCTGATGTGATGTATCTAGGTGTGACGTTCTAGTAGGTGTGATGTTGACGTTCTAGTATGTGCTGATGTTCTAGTAGGTGTTGATGTTCTAGTAGGTGTTGACGTTCTAGTATGTGTTGACGTTCTAGTAGGTGCTGATGTTGATGTTCTAGTAGGTGTTGACGTTCTAGTAGGTGCTGATGTTGACGTTCTAGTATGTGTTGATGTTCTAGTAGGTGTTGACGTTCTAGTAGGTGTTGATGTTCTAGTAGGTGTTGATGTTGATGTTCTAGTAGGTGTTGACGTTCTAGTAGGTGTTGATGTTGATGTTCTAGTAGGTGTTGACGTTCTAGTAGGTGTTGACGTTCTAGTAGGTGCTGACGTTCTAGTAGGTGTTGACGTTATAGTAGGTGCTGACGTTCTAGTAGGTGTTGACGTTCTAGTAGGTGCTGATGTTGACGTTCTAGTATGTGCTGATGTTCTAGTAGGTGTTGATGTTCTAGTAGGTGTTGACGTTCTAGTAGGTGTTGATGTTCTAGTAGGTGTTGACGTTCTAGTAGGTGTTGATGTTCTAGTAGGTGCTGATGTTGATGTTCTAGTAGGTGTTGATGTTCTAGTAGGTGTTGACGTTCTAGTAGGTGTTGACGTTCTAGTAGGTGCTGATGTTGACGTTCTAGTAGGTGTTGACGTTCTAGTAGGTGTTGACGTTCTAGTAGGTGTTGATGTTCTAGTAGGTGCTGATGTTCTAGTAGGTGTTGATGTTCTAGTAGGTGCTGACGTTCTAGTAGGTGTTGACGTTCTAGTAGGTGCTGACGTTCTAGTAGGTGTTGACGTTCTAGTAGGTGCTGATGTTGACGTTCTAGTATGTGCTGATGTTCTAGTAGGTGTTGACGTTCTAGTAGGTGTTGACGTTCTAGTAGGTGCTGATGTTGATGTTCTAGTAGGTGTTGACGTTCTAGTAGGTGCTGATGTTGACGTTCTAGTATGTGCTGATGTTCTAGTAGGTGTTGACGTTCTAGTAGGTGTTGACGTTCTAGTATGTGTTGACGTTCTAGTAGGTGTTGACGTTCTAGTAGGTGCTGATGTTGATGTTCTAGTAGGTGTTGACGTTCTAGTAGGTGTTGACGTTCTAGTAGGTGTTGACGTTCTAGTAGGTGTTGACGTTCTAGTAGGTGTTGATGTTCTAGTATGTGCTGATGTTCTAGTAGGTGTTGATGTTCTAGTAGGTGTTGACGTTCTAGTAGGTGTTGACGTTCTAGTAGGTGCTGATGTTGACGTTCTAGTAGGTGTTGACGTTCTAGTAGGTGTTGACGTTCTAGTAGGTGTTGATGTTCTAGTAGGTGCTGATGTTCTAGTAGGTGTTGATGTTCTAGTAGGTGTTGACGTTCTAGTAGGTGTTGACGTTCTAGTAGGTGTTGATGTTCTAGTAGGTGTTGATGTTCTAGTAGGTGCTGATGTTGATGTTCTAGTAGGTGTTGACGTTCTAGTATGTGCTGATGTTCTAGTAGGTGTTGACGTTCTAGTAGGTGTTGACGTTCTAGTAGGTGTTGACGTTCTAGTAGGTGTTGACGTTCTAGTAGGTGTTGACGTTCTAGTAGGTGTTGACGTTCTAGTAGGTGTTGATGTTGACGTTCTAGTAGGTGTTGACGTTCTAGTAGGTGTTGACGTTCTAGTAGGTGTTGACGTTCTAGTAGGTGCTGATGTTGACGTTCTAGTAGGTGTTGACGTTCTAGTAGGGGCTGATGGTGTTGACGTTCTAGTAGGTGTTGACGTTCTAGTAGGTGTTGACGTTCTAGTAGGTGCTGATGTTGACGTTCTAGTAGGTGTTGACGTTCTAGTAGGTGTTGACGTTCTAGTAGGTGCTGATGTTGATGTTCTGGGCGCAGATGGTGACCGGTGTGGAGACTCGTCCTTCCTCGTAGAGCCCAGGGGAGAAATAAGGAAAGACTTTCTCGGTGAACTTGTCTTTAAACGTGTGCATGACGCTCATGTCGGCCGTGTTGATGAACACCACTTTGCCTTTGCTGTAGTCCAGCTCCACCGTGATCTTCTCGGGCTTCTGCTTCACCGTCAGCGGCGTGCGGTTCGGCGTCTGGGCCCAGTACGAGTCTCCGTTCGTCCGCCCGATCACCCAGAATCCCTCGGCGGGGTCCAGGAACACTGTGTTCTTTCTCTGGACGGACTCCCGGGCCACGCCCACGTACCAGTCCCGGCCCCGCCCCACCTCCACGGTCCAGGCGTGGCGTCCGGCGCTGAAGCCCGGCGTCCCCAGAACGCACACGCGGTTCCCGCAGCGCTCGGGGTTATCGGGCACGCTCAGTCTGCCGCCGTAACGCACTCGGGTCAACTCCTCCGAGAAGCTCAGGTTGGACTGCGCCGTGTTCGGGTCGAAGGTGATCGGAGCTGCAGGAACGACACAAACGGTCCACAAGTTAAAGCTCCACTGCGGGACTTTTGGACGAGGTTTCTGCTCGTTTCCATGGTGATTATTTCTTTGCCTAAATGTTAAAGCTGCAACTGTGTAACTTTTCGGTTGTGGGTCTGTCACCTGTTTGTTTCTATGGAGACGTCACTGCTCTGTTTGGAATGTTCCACAGTGTGACTTTAAACAACTCGACTTTACATTTATTCAGTCACAGGAGAATTTATGGCTCAAAAATCTCCAGAAAAACAAACACTGTGACTGAGTGGAGTCGCCGCTCCACAGATCTGACCCGGAACACCGTCTGGTCTGGTTTCCATGGAGATAGAAATATTTCATATTGTGACTTTAAACCTTTTAAAGTCACAATATGAAACATTCCAGTCAAAGGAACAACAACTCTGTGGAGAAAAGTGTTTTTCAAAGCTTCCACCAGAAAAGTGACACAGTGCAGCTTTAATACGACATTAAACTTTAAGGTTTAATCTTTTTTATTTACAAAAAAACTGCCCCTGAACAGAATTTGTGTAACTGTTGATCCACAAATGTAAATCACATTTTACAAACAGAATTTTCAGTTTTTTTTGTAAATGAAAAAAAAAAAAAAAAATTTACAAATCCACATCTATCTGTAAAAAACAAAATACAAGTTACAAATATTTAGTTTCCATTTGTGGATCAAACAAACAAACAAACCAACGAGTATTTACACATTTATAGATCAGCCTCTGTGCGTTTATGAAGATTTAGTGAGAGAAAAATAAAACTTAACAGACACGTGTTTACATCAGCAGGTGGAGAAGGGGGCGTGTCTGTGTTTGTGACACTGTGGTCACGTGATTAAAAAAGTTGTGGAAAAGTTTGGGAGCCCTGAAAAAGCAGCGTGTGAAAAGTGAAAAGTGAACTGGTCGTAAACACTTGTAAAAACTCGTGTGATCTGTGAGTTTCATCTTTATCTCTGTGGCTGTTAAACAGAGTCATGGATTTGAAGACACCGTGATTTTCTAATTTAAAACATTTTGGAAAAGTTGTGGAAAAGTTGTGGGATGTGATAATCCGTGTGTCATTCGTTCATTAGTTTTTCAATATAAAACCAAAAATAAGAAAACGAAAAAACAACAGTTTTCTTTATTATTTGTCTCCAAAACCAAAATGAAAAAACAGAAAATGATTTGTTTTTTTCAGTTTTCGATTTTGTGTTTAAATGAAGAATGGAAAAAACAGATAACGACCATTTCCCGTTTACGTGACTTCAGTGACTGAACCAGGACTGATCCAGGTCCGGGACCAGAGCGGGACCAGAGCGGGACCAGAGCGGGACTGGGGCGGGACTGGGGCGGGCTCCAAGCTTTGACTCTGAGCCTCCGCGGGGTCCGAGCCTCAGCTTCGAGCTCCGGTCCTGCCGTGGGCTCTGAGCCTCCGATCTGGTGTCGGTCTTGTCTCGGTCTCGTCTCGGTCTCAGGCCCGCTCTGGTCCGCTCTGGTCCCGGTCTGGTCCGCTCTGGTCCGCTCTGGTCCTGGTCTGGTCCCGGTCTGGTCCCGGACCTGGTCCATTTGAACCAAAAGCTCTTAGTTGGGTTCGTTTTCGTTGGTGTGAAAGCGTCAGTTTGATGCTTTGCTCCACCTCGGAACCAGACCGGAGCAGCTCGTCCAGACCTCGAGTCCACAGAACATCTCACTTTCCCCGCACGGAACCAGCGCGGAGACGACGACACGGAACCTCTCGGTCTCAGTTCCGCTCTGATCCCGCTCTGGTCTCGGACCTGGATCAGTCCTGGTTCAGTCCGTACGCGGTGCAAAAGTTCAGCATCTCAGTCACTGAAGTCACGTAAACGGGAAACGGCCGTTATCCGTTTTTTCCATTCTTCATTTAAACACAAAATCGAAAACTGAAAAAAACAAATCATTTTCTGTTTTTTCATTTTGGTTTTGGAGACAAATAACGAAGAAAACTGTTGCTTTTTCGTTTTCTTATTTTTGGTTTTATATTGAAAAACGAATGAACGAATGACACACGGATTCGTGATTTGGAGCTGATGTTTGGCTCCTGTGTGTAAAAGTGTTTGAGGTTTGATGGACTCACCAGCCTTGACGATGCTTCTCATCTTCTTCCAAACCTGAAACTTGAGGATTCCCAGATGTTTGGCCGTGTCGATCAGGATGTCCCGGACACACATGGGCTCCGGAATATTCTCCCTGGTTCTGCAGACGTGAGATTTAGAAAAGAACTTCGAGTGAGTCCAGGTACGATTCAGATCAGCAACAAGAAAAACGTCTCGGCAGATTCAGATTCTGGTTTATTTAAACGTCCAGTATCAAGTAAGAATGTTCTGGTCACACTCAGAGCTGGAGTCAGGTTTGTTTGAGTGAATCTTTATTCTGAGTCTGTTACATCTGCCAAACTCCAAAGGCTCTGCTCCACCTTGTGATGTCATGAAGTGGTAGATTTCAGATGAACAGCTCCTTTTCCCTTCAGTTCAGTAGAAATTACAATTAGAATTTTTCCAAAAGTCTGTAGGAAAACAAAAGTTAAATAGAGTTTGAGGTGGACGGGAGTGTGGAGCTTTTGCTGAACTCAAAACAATAAAACTACATTTTATTCATTTTGTCCATAAATCTGAAACAGTAAATTACTGATAAATTAGACAAACACTGTTCAGATTTTTACAAATAGGAAGTGGTGAATAAAATTGTGTTGAGCTTTTAACTCTCAACATTTTCAAAAAGAAAATGGGACAAAAATGAATTTCACTCAGAACAAAAAATGCAAAAACGTCCAAACGTCACTTTAATCTTTAACAACTCCACAACTGAAACGATCCAGGTGATTCGAGTGACGGTGTGTGGAGTTTAAAAACACAGAGGAGCACGTCCTGCATCACCACATGATGACATCACAAGGTGGAACAGAGAGTTTTGATTGTGAAAGAAGAACTTCATCCTCCCGAGTCTGTTTTGTCATCAGTCGTAATAATAATAATAATGATATTAATAATAATAATTAATAATAATAATGTGAGTGTAAAATCCATTTACCTGCTCCTCGTCTGTTTGTATTTCTGTTGAAAACAAACACAACGTCACATTTATGTTCAAACACGAGAAGAAGAAGAAGAGACTTCAGACGTCACATTCAAACAATTATTCATTAGTAATAATAATAAAAACAGAAATAATAATAATAAAGAACATAAAAAACACAAATGAAAAACTAAAACGTTATAAGGAAATCAACAAAAGACTCAAATTCAAATAAAGCCATAATTTCTATTATTCTATTATTATTATTAGATTCTATTATTATGATTATTCTATTATTATATTATTATGATTATTTCCCTGTTGTGAGCAAATGTTCCATTTTCTTTTCTGCTCCAATAGTTTATTTTTCTTCATTTACAATCAGAACAATTTAGAAAAACTAATGAAGCCATGATGTTTTTAAAATATTCTAAACATAAATTTGAAATTGTTGAAGCCTTAAAGGTTATAGAGACATGATTTATTTCAAATGTTATTATTTTCTTTTCTGTTTGTTCTGGATTCAGTGTTTAAGCAAAACTTTTA